GCTAATCTGGTCCTTCCAAGGTTGCTATACAAATGACGAAATTAGAAATCTTTGGTATAAGAACTTTTGACCTTCCCATTGTTATGGTTCATCCCAGGCCGAAAAAAAAGGCACTGGAAATCAATGCTGGTTGTAGGATAGTCATAGATTTCCCTAACACTTTCCATCGAGAATTTTAAAAGTGTTCGCAAGGTGGGTAGCTCGAGGAGTAACGCAAATACATATTCTGTTATCCGAGCGATGACAAGGGTTTAGCGACAATAGCTAAACTTCCGACAGCGAGTAAGAAGGTTTTCAGATGAGACTATATTAGTGACTAGATATATGTAAAGCTTTGAAGAATTCGGGATCTAAGGGTGTGACCTGTATGTCCTTCCATGGACACAAACAATCCCACACAGAAGGCCTATTGCATTCATGAAACTCTCCTGGTAAAACAATATGGCACTGTCCCTATGCTTTTTGTATATTTTTATGTTGGCTTGGATGGAAAGCAGCAGCAATGTAGCACGGGATTCACGGTAGCCTGATATGTCATGCGATAGCTTTCAATCAATTTGCAGTCTCCGTATCAAACTTTCCAGACTTTCGAATTCTCCATGTTTGCGAGCTTCTTTGATACCGGCTTGAGCATCTCCAGCTTTGTTGCAAGTAAATGTATATGCCTCAGAGATTGTTCCTGTCGCCAGTATGAAGGCAGTCTGTTTAAGGATAGCTCACTATTTTCAGATAATAGAATCACCGATATTATGGAGTTTGCGGCTTGGAGACCATCGAGTACGATTTTAGAGAGGCCACGAATGGCAGTTTTCATGTATGATGTAGTCAAGGAAGACGGTCTGGAAGAACGATAAATGACAGCGAAGCAGTAATCATAGACAACATTGTTTAACATGATAATCTGTATCTTGATTTCATTACTGCCAGGGTATCGTTTGCCCCAATAGCCGAGTTGATCTTCAGAAATTGATATATACGCTTCAATTTGCCCGGTCAGCTGAACCAGAAGGGGTGCGCAAAGCTTAGAGCTAGCACTTGGCTTTATTGATTTGCAATTTGCTTTTCAAATTGTTATTTTTGTGTACAAAGGCAGAATACATATGCATATATATATAATCTGTGAAGGGGTTTCGCCCCAGAGGAATGTGCTTACACCCCAAATTTCGATGGAAATGGTTCATTCATACAGCAAGATCAAAAAACTCAAAAGTTCCTCTGGAATTGATTGATATGTAACATCGTTGTTCAGATTGGAGTTGAGATTAAAACAGTGATTTTGTAAGAACCATGAAGCCCTCAAGGTCACTGATATAAGCAAATACATCCAGAAACTCCAAAAATGGTGCTATTGCGGGCTGAAAACCAACTGCAAACAAGAAGCATCCAAAATATGTGAGTCTCGTTGCTGCTTCAATCTGAATGTTGTTTGAATGATGTCAGACCTGTCAAACTCGGCAGTCATTCGCCCAGGCTAATCCGACACATCTCAGATTATCGTTTCGGTGCATCATAAATGAGTAAGACAGGGTATTCTCACCGTTTCTTGTCTTGAAATGCCTCCCCTTGAACTTCTTCAGCAGGTATCAAAGTCAAGAGTTGAGGTTCGACAGATAACCTGATGTCCCACTCATCCGCAATTCGCGGAATTAGATTGGTCAAAGCTTGGTCGGTTAACCCACCACCTTATCATTCTGGCCATCGAGGCCGATTACACTCTAATGGAGCTAACCTAGAATTACAACAACTCCCTCAATTCTGCTCAGCCCAGTCTTCAACGCTGTCAAAGTTTCAAAACAAGTGGACGCTTATGAATTGGAAATCCATAACAAGATCAGCTAAAATGACAAGCTTTCTGGGGACCATGAAAAGCAGAGACAATCTTTTTACTATCAGGTCTGCGAGAAACAATTGTGTTGGTAGAATCTTCTTGGCTCCCTTGGCGATTATCTCTTCACATATGAAAGGGGTTCGTTCGCGGGTTTCCATTATGTAGAGTGTACTGTCATCGAAACTTCGTTACACCTTCACTATCCGTGAGTCAGATTATTGCTACAACGCACCGGAATCGATTCAAACGACCCTCAGTAGCTCAGAAGGACACCAGTCCGATATCGAAGTAGGTGTCGTTACTGTTCGTAGGCTTAAGAGCCATCGTTTGACGTGGGTCATAACCTTTCCTGCTTTGAGCAAGTTTATGGTTGTTTGATCAAACCCCTCTTAAACCGACGTCCCCACGCTACGCCATCAAGCGTGTTTCAATTGTCAATCCATTTTTTTTCTCAGAACGCCAGATTAAGATTTTGAATATCCCATCAAACTTTGTATCACACACTTGTGATTTTCATTTGAAGTTTCCCAAAGTCTCTTTCTACCGACGTTTTTGTACGCTGTGTACTCTGTAGCTGTGTACATCATTACACAATTTCAAGGGCAGGACTCACCCTTATTTTAATCGTCATTATATAATCTCTAATCAAATCCTCAAATTCTCAAGATGGATATGTCAGATGGTATGACAATGGGTGGTGCACCAACAGATGGCTCAGCGTTGAATGCTACTGGCTTCGAGATGTCCAACATGACGCAGGCTGCGGACTACTTGGGAGAAATATTGGATGATTCTGTTTTTCAGATAGATGGAAATGCTGCTGCCAGGCATTTTTGGTATGGAGTCTGTGCGGTTATCGGCATAGCTGCCTTTTTCAACTTCGCACAGAAGGCTACTATAGTTTTCAGGTAAGTTCATCTTCACTTGTTGCTGCTACAATCATTAACAACTCATAGATTGAGGGCAGCTGCATCGAATAAAGCACGACCAGCATCGCCATCCAATCCTTTGACAACATTGCTAGCTACAATAACAGCAATTGGTCGGGAAGCATCATATTCCCAGTTCATACCACAAAATGAAATTGCCGCAAAGTACTTCAAGATCCCTCCTCTTGGGACTATTATGCTCTTGATATTACATCTAGTGTGGGTCATTATCCTCGAGTTTGCGAACAACAATGTTCCGGGAGCCCAACACTTTACTTCATTGGGTGTTCGCGCATCCTGGTTGGCTGTTGCACAAGTCCCTCTATTAATACTCTTAGCTGGAAAGAATAGTCCACTTGGACTTGTCAGTGGTATCTCATATGAACGCTTGAATGTTGTTCACCGATGGACTTCAAGGATTCTTCTGTTTCTTGTTACCCTGCATGTGATTTTCCTTCACTTAGCTTGGAATGCATCTGACCTAGGACCTCTGGAATATTCTACCGATTCGTGCATTCCAACTGGCTGGGGAGCGTATGCCCTGCTGCTATGGATGAACATTAGCACTTTCGCACCCATCAGGAATTTCTCTTACGAGTTCTTTGTAATTCAGCACATCATCACCTTTTTCGGATTCATCATTGCCATTATGATGCATCTTCCAGATACTGCTTTATACTCTAGAGTTTACATTTATATCCCTATTGCGTTATACATAATTGACAGGATAACCCGTACCGGGAGATACGCTTGGAACAACATTCGCACCCCAACGGCAACATTGAAAGTTTTACAAGGTGGGGTTACTCGGGTTTGTATCGAAAGCAAAGCTGTCAAGAAGTGGAACCCTGGTTCTCACGTTCTCCTATCAATACCTCAACTTGGAATCGGGCAATCTCATCCAGCAACGATTGCTTCCACACCATCATCACATGATGGCAAGCTGGTCTTCTTGCTTAAAGCACACAAGGGATTCACGGGTCGCCTATTATATGCAGCAGAAAATTCGCCAGCATCGAATTCGCCATGGAAAGCCCGAATTGATGGACCATATGGTAATACTGTTGACTATGCTGCTTTCGACACTGTTCTCCTCATCTCAGGTTCAACTGGTACAACCTATACGCTTCCAATTCTCTTAGACATTGCAAATCGTGCACAAAGCACCCGACTTCCAGTCCAGCGCATCGTCTTCGTTTGGATAATCAAAAATACTTCGTGGACATCTTGGATTGCAGACGAACTTGCATCAGCAGCCGAGAAGCTTGACGCCGTTGGAATCGAGCTCACAATTCGAATCCACGTAACCTGCGACAACAACTTTACAACCGGAGACAGTAATACAGTAGCTAATTGCTGTGCTTGCGACAAAAGTCTCGGTCCTTGCTGCTGTATATCTGTCGATGCTGATGCTGATGACGATGAAATCACATCTATCGATGAAAAGGGCACTAAAATCAGCGCCAAGCCGAAAATCACAAGTGCTTCTAGTATTACTTCAGGGACTCGATCATCAATTTTATCATGTGCGGTTTTCCAGAGCGGGAGACCTGATTTCCATCCCCTTTTAGGCGAATTATTGGTGAAAGCCGAGGGGGAAACTGGGATTGCTGTTTGTGGACCACTTGGGTTGAGTAGCAATGTGAGGACTACGGTGGCGAAATGTAGTAATGATAGGGCTGTTCATAAGGGGACTGGAGCCCAAGGAATTTTCCTGCATGCTGAAGGTTTTGGATGGTAGACTTTTGATTTATTTGGAATGGAGTTGGGTACTTTTTGAAAGATTTGGGAATGAAAGATACCCATATTGTAATGGCTAGAAAAGATCGGTGACAGGAGGGATAAATGGTAATGAATATGTCTTGGATGGCTTTCCCACTAGGACCGTGAAGCAAATCATAACTGTGAAATGTACTTGATACATAAATCCGTCATATATCGTAGATCAACCTGTATAACATTTGATCAGTACATTTGTGTTGTACAGTAAGTAGCTCGAGAGTAGTCTTGGATGCGGAAGACGGCCCGAAGATTAACCGAACCCCGGATAAGACTTTTCCTGAACCGTGCACCTTCAAAAGCCAGGGCTGTAACAATGCTTTACTTCTTTAGTTCTGGCTTACGAAACTCCACTCTAACAACCAAAAGTAGATCGGATAGCGGCGACGCGCCAAAGCATCATATTACAGTAAAGCAGCGAGTGTTGTGTTTCCAAACACGCATGTTCCGTGCTGCTTTTCAGAATGGATCAAGTTAATTCAGGTCTTCACCAGCAGATACCCACAACATACAGACAATTGCAGCCACAAGCAGAACAAGCTCTCCAGCATGGTCAACCTCATCTTCACCACCACACTCTTACATCCCAGGCAGGACTCGATCTGTCGGGTTTGGTCCAAGATGATAACAATTCCGTCTATCACCCAGACTTGAGAAGCTTGCAGGATCCAAATGCAGGACATCCTATTGCTCATCAATATCCTTCTCCAATCCCTTTTGAACGAAATAATGGACACCCTCAAATGCATGTTCAGAACACTGGCATTCAAAATACTGGACTTCAAAATAGCATTCAAAATAATGGCAGCCCCCATACCCCTCAGCAACAACATCCTGGACCAGGACAATTCGGAATCTTGACTGCAGGTCCCTCTCTTCACCATAACCCAATTGGCAGATTGCAGCAAGGCTTGCCACAAGATTTGCAGCAGGATGATAATTTATTTGGCACACCCGATGAAACAGATCAGAAAAGCATTGGACATCATTCTCACAAGATTGTTCCTAATCCTCCGGATTTGGCTGCATGGAGAGAGAAGTTGTTTAATGTCAATGAGATGATCACTTTGAGTGAAGAAGAGTAAGTTCATTAACTCAAATATCGAAGTGTATTTTGCTGATCAACTCAATTTTAGGTATAATACATATTTTCCTCATGTCGATAACGTTTACTCCCATCGGTCAACTCAAAAATACAAGCGCAAGCCATTTGTTTCTCACTACTGGGATTGTCGTCTCAAAGGTAGGCCGCCAGGAACTGCCAAATCCGATGATCCGAACAAAAAGAAGCGAAAGCGCACTGCGCGAGAAAGAGATCTTTGCGATGTCAAAATCAAGATTACAGAGTACTTTCCAGGTGCTATGTTGCGGGCAGATTTTCAACCAGATGGAGGCGCATCGGCAGATCCATCCCAAGCGAACAACTTTTTTGCGCAAGCTGGACCTCACCAACAACAATTTGCTCTTCCTCTCAACAACATAAACATCCCACCCAATCATCCAGGCGCCACAGGTCAACGATACTATGAAATTCAGCGTGTCAATGGAAACGGTGGCAACGGCAAGGGTGATGGTGTTGCAGGACCTCACAAGCATGATCTGGCGAGAAGTGATGAGATCAAGAAGAACAGCATTCTTCGATTTCTTCAAAAGAGAGAAAAGGAGGATAAAAAGACCCAGGTAAGATCCTCTGGTTCTATCAGTATTACTATCCAGCAAACATCACATGGGGAAATACAATCGCAAGAAATGCAGCCACAGGGCGTTTGGCGATTGCAGATCTTTGGGTCTCGATTACCCTTTTCTGCCCCGCTCCTTCTCGTGGCGTAATGTATAACTACATCATATCAAGTCTCACCTGCCTCGCATTTTTTTTCGACATTAAATGCCTTCGGAACATGAATTGAAAAGGTTCACCCAGAAGATCTTACTCCCATTCCTTTGTTACATCCTTTGGATAGAAGCAATAGTCGCACATAAGTTCGAAAATGACTAATACAACTTGTGAACAGAAAACTTATCATAAGAGAGCCAGTGGCCTAGCTTTGAGTACTGTAAAGAAACATACCAAGGAGAATGAATTGAAGTTGTTTGGCAGTTGCTTTTGGTAAGTTTACTTTACATAACAGTCATGCCATATCAGTAGAAACCTGCACTGAACTAACATTCCGTGCCAGTCCTTTTGTTCAGCGAGTTTGGATTGCTTTAGAAGCCAAAGGTATTCAGTATCAATACATTGAAGTTGATCCATATAAAAAGCCCCAATCTCTGTTAGAGGTCAATCCCAGAGGATTAGTTCCTGCTATTCGCCATGGAGATTGGGGTTGTGGTGAAAGTACTGTTTTGATGGAATATGTAAGCCTCACACTTTCTTACTCTTCTATGTTAGATTTCAAGCAGTTCCCAGTCTTCGATAATCATATGGCAACCATCTAACATCTTACAGATCGAGGACCTTCAAACTGGCCCACCTCTATTTCCCCAGGATGCGCGAGTTAAGGCTCATAGCAGACTTTGGGCCGACCACGTACGTTTTTTAATCTTTCTCTTTCGTCCAATCCATTAACAACTGTCTAGATTGATCGTAAAATTGTCCCCACATTCTACGCACTTCTTCAATCCCAAAATTATGAAAAGCAAGAAGAATTGACCGCAAAACTTCGCGATGAAATTTCTCAGATTGTAGACGTATGCGATCCTCAGGGTCCATTTTTCCTCGGTCCAACACTCACTTACACCGATGTTCATTTCGCACCATGGATTCTCCGTTGCCGTCGTGTACTTAAGCATTATCGGGATTGGCAAGATCCGCAACCGGGTAGTCGTTGGGCGATCTGGTTTGATGCGATTGAGAATAATGAGTTCGTCAAGGCGACAACTAGTGCGGATGAATTGTACATTGATTCTTATGAGAGATATGCGATGAATAGACCGGGTACGAGTGAGTTGGCGGATGCGGTTAATGGGGGATTCAATTTACCTTAAGAGGGGTTCGAAATGGGATAGGACGGGGGTTGTAAATATGGTGGGGGATGGGATGAATTAAGTTAGATGGGATGGGATAGGAGGGGCGGGAAAGGTAATGATCTTCTTTAGTGCACCGCAACGCGACGCAAGTTCAAGGGCTGGTTACTACATGGGAGGGGAGGCCAACAAATTTGCTTTTCAAGTTTTGTTGCCGGATGGTTAATCACGATTTTGAATGTAAGACACTTCTGGTCGGGGGAATTGGAATCATCCTGATGCTCTATTGGATCTTTGGAATCCTTTTTTATATCATGATAACGCTGGTTTAGTTTAGTTGGTTGTTGGTAGTAGAATAATCAATAATTAAGGATCTCATTTGAATGTTAAAGAGCATGAAATTTTGAATGTCCAATGTTGTGATATGTTAAAGGGGAGGAGAAGGTCGATCTGTGCATGTATGTCGGGTATTACAAATGCTGTCTTTTTTCTCGTCAAGGTAAAATACAATTTAGGTTTCCGCCTATAAATTTGATCCCGTTATCCAACCATCCATTCACAGATCCATTGCAGCCAATTTCTACAATTTCCACAATCTCACAGCTCTAGTCCTTTCCCTTTAGCTCTCTTCTCTCTCTCTCAATTCTCTTCTATCCTCTCTACTCCATCACATACTTCATCACATCCCAATCTCAAGCTCTACGCGACCATCTCCCCATTAACAAGCGTATCCCAATAGCCTCCACAAAAACATCTTCTCTGCTGCATAACCAGCCACTGCAACGCGGGTCTCTGACTCAGCACATCTTCCATGACCGCTGCGCATCTTGCACATCTTCTCCAGCGCTTTGTGGTATTTCCACTTCCTTGTCCCCCATTCGCATTACCATTAGCACTGCCATTTGTGTTACCACTGCCCCCTGCTCCTTGCGGTGTAGCCAATCCCTGAATTGTCGGTAGAGAATTGTCCTTATCCGCTGTGTTTCCATTTTCAATTGCTTTATTTGAAGATAGTTTAGAGGAAGTTGGGGGAGGGTTGATCAACCAAGTTTTCCTAAAACAATCCATAGTAACCCCTGACCCCTTTCTCTTCGCCACCGATTCCTCATCCTCGTCCACTTCCAACATTGTGAAATCTGCAAACCATAGATTTGCAGGATCGATTTCTAGACGAACGCTAGATAAATAACCAGGTGCTGCTGCATTGGCTCCCAAGTCGTTTTGAGTCTTCGGTTCGTTATCCTGTACGCCTCTGAAGAGATCGATGATAACTGCTTTAAATGCTGTGGGGATTTCGCCACCGAGAAGCATTTTTATTTCGAGATTATTGCGCGAAGGACCTGTGCTATTATTTGTGTTTCCTGATAGAGGCGGTTTATGGTTTGTGTATGCGGATTTGATTGAGGAGGTTAGGGATGAGAGAAGGGCTTCGAATGTTTTGATACGGACGATACAGTTACTCGTCAAATTAGCAATCTGTACATAAGCGGCCCTCAGTGTCGGGGAAATGCTTTGCTGTCCTTGTCCTCCTTGGCTTGGATGATTGGTATTGGTTGCGATGGCTTTGCGAGCTACGTAGTCAAGATGTTGGAGGCGGCGACAGATGGCAGTAAGGAAGCCACGGGTAGGAGAAGAAAGGAGGAGATGAAGGGTTACGTTGTTGGTGGCATGGAGGTAGGCGAGAAGTTCAGGGAGTGAGAGTTTGGTGGGATTTGTTACGGAGATATTTTCTGGAAGGGTGCTTGGAAGTTCGAGGAGAGTGTCGGTTATCCAAGCCATGAGATCGAGAACCCAGCGAACAGAACCAGCAAGGGCAGTGATTACCTCTAGAAATCTTGTTAGCTTCCCGAGATAACGAGATGGGAACATTGCATACCTGGATCATCGAGAGGCGTTGATTTCGTATCATGAGTCGGACCAGGAACTTTCATGTTTGCAGCCATAGTGACAAGCACAACAGTATTGCGCAACTGTAAAACGAGCCATGAGAATTTTCCAGCAAATTTACGAGCATTGAATTCTCCTGTGAAGCCTAGCGAATTCTGAATGCTGAGACACAACTGTATCATGGTATTCCGTATTAGTACATCATAATGCGCCTCTTCCGAATAATCAGCGATGATTTTTAGAATTTTAGCTAGTTCATTGAGCCAATCATATGCAAGATCTAAAACAGGTCAGTCGACAAACAAAACGTATCTAACCCACCAAAAAACTTACTGTCTTTCGTTTTTGCGAGATTGTGAGCAGTAGCAATTATGTCATCATAGTTCATGGACATAATAACTGATGTAGAACAAGATATGGATAGAGCGGCTATCATTGCGGCATACCGTGCTATGTCTCATTAGCATTTTCTTGCTTCTGCACAAACGAGTTATCCACATACGGTGTTCCATTGTTGACCCAATATCTCCCAAATGATAATCTAACTGCTTCCATTTGACCTTGCCGTCGTTTCTTATTTGCACTAATGAGCAAGTACTTGGAGACAACGCAACTTGTAAACCTAAAAACATATTAGAAGATAGTTTTATACGGTGAATGTACACTCACAAGGCTCATCCTCGGTGTAGGAAAATCCAATTTGAGAAAGATGAACAACCCGCTCTAAATCGTCATCATTGAACGTTTCAGTCATAGTGATTCGATCACGATAATCGACCGAACTGTCACTATATGCAAAGCTGATGACCCTTCCAAGATACATGGTTTGCACGGAAACGATAATTTTATTTACTGTGAAACTTTCGAGTTTCTTGAGCTGAGCAATAACCTAGAAAATGTGAGCACAATTCATGGAGACCGAAGCATGCAACTTACCCCGGGTTTTGTCGGTTGTGAGCCGTCAGTACTCTTACGCGATGACAAATTCTCAAAGGCGGAATGTACTGAGTGTTGTGGCCTTTCCCTAAACTCCCACCTATCTACAGTGGAATAGACCTCTTGGTTGTAATGAGACGTCGATCCAGGTAGATAAGAACGAACAGCCATAACAATTGGTGGTGTTATGTGATTTTTATTATCTACAGTTGGAGATAAAAACTTTAGGTGAGAAAGCTGTACCATTGATGATTCCAGATGAGATGCATCCAAAGTATCACCTGGAACATCATGCAACCAACTCGTTACAGTAAGAGGCTTGGTTTGTAGCGTTGCATTCAAGGTCATTGTCATTGGGTTTATTTTTTCCTGCGTTTGAGGAAGACCCCAGTGTATAACCGCTCGAAATATACGCAACTGCTTCGAGGAAGTAGCAAGCGCAATTAAAAGGGACGGGCCTAGCGATAGAATTAGTCGAAGATCTCTCAACCTCATGTGTCAGCAGTTACTTCTCTCTGCACATATAGCTGCATGGGTGATTAAATCATCGGATGAAATAATGCTCTCTAGTTCTGTGTGTGACTCGAGCCATTTGCCATTGCTCTGTAGCCACAAGAGACGCAAAGATCCATTAGAAGTGACGTATAAGAATGCCGATTTGGTGGGAATGGGATGTGTAGGTCCAAGATTGGGCGCTGTAGAGGCATCGTAGCGAAACCCTGATGCTTCCTTAATGGCTGGCCCTTGCTGCACTCTAGGGGCCTGTTGAAGAATTGGTTAGAATAGCACAGAACAGAATCATTCACAGGGCGGTTCTTACAGATCGATTTTGGAATGGACCTAAATTCAGCCAGAAACAACCCACAACGGCATGTAAATCATCCGCTGGTTCTGGACCACAAGGACGGCACATCATAGGTTTATTTAGAGAAGAGAATATTTGCAAAAGTGTCACACGGCCAGCGGAATCAATGACTGCTAACTCGGAGCCAGTGGGACTCCAAGAAAGATGCTTCAGCGGCCCACCATCGAGGTTGCTAGTCAATTGCGGTATTACTGTAGCTTCACTTAAACCCCATGTACCATCTTCTGGGTGACACCTCAAATTCCTTAACTCTAGACCAGATCCGTTTGGAGTTATAGACGCAATGCTTCCCCACTTTGACCAGGCAATACCTCTTAAATAGTAAGGTTAGTAGGTCAAAATACTGATGTAACCAGGGGTTCTTTCTTACTGGCAACATCCGCTTCCTCTCAGTTCATCGACCCTCTGATGAAGTTCTTTTGATGGTGGTGGTCTAGATGGCAAAGACAAACCCGTGCCATCACCAAAGAGGTCGTCCATATCGACTTCCATGTTATCGACGTCTTCCATCATGAGTGGCATCACCTTTTGGTAATGTGTGGTGGGAGTTGGAAATGAGGTAGATTTCGTGGGTAGCTTTGGGCACGAAATATTGCCAATGAAATCAAGAGAATGGAGAAGAAAATGTTGATTAATTAGTGTGAAGTTGAAGTTGAAGTTGCTTTGTAAAAAAAATTAATAAGATTAATAAGAATATATGGTGATGGTGATGATAATGGTCACGACGAGGTAAGCATGGGAAGTGATAAGGCTGAGGCTGGATGTATGTCTCCGAAAATTGCACTTGGAGAGGGATTGAAAGAGTCCAGCCTTGTTCGAGTGATTTGATCTCAAAAGTTTCCACCCTCGCCTGTTGCATAAGCTAGTCAGGATTAGAACAGGGAGGCTCGAGGGAGGCTAGAGCTCTGTTGGAACTGATTTGGTGGGTCACGTGGGTGGAGAATGACAATCTGATTCATTTGAGTGGATCCCCAAGTTGTGTGAAGTCTGGTTTAAGAGATGTTGCTGGGTGAATGAAGAAATGGAATGAAGCGTCATAGCATGATGGAACAAAAGAAAAAAAGAGGAAAAATTTCAGGACGAGTATAAACAACAACAAATGCAAACGGAGTTAAAATAAGAGGGGGGTTTGGAAACCCTAATAATATATTAATTCAAATAGTCTTTTTTTATCTACATCATAATATTTGGTGTAAAAATTACCGTAATATTTCCTGTACTTAGGTATTCATGAGATGTTCAAGACAGTTACTACCAGTACAATGACAAACAAAGATGTCGTTATTTTTATTAGGGGTCTGATTCATCATGTACTCCGTCCTGCGTAGACTACCGAAACGAGGCATATGGATTGTACATACCACAATAGAATCCCCCTCTATAATAACAAAAATCATGAACAATGAATCAATTCTATTGACATATTTCTATCCATGTGATATTCATTCACATTCATCAATTTCACTAATAGCAATCAAAAGGGGATTTTCGATCATATACAGCATAGAGACTCAGTCAGTCACAAAGACATTTGGATCTCTCGTTAGGCGAAACCATTCATCCGAGATGGAATGACTTACCTACCTGACTAGCGGTATGTGGTATATCAAACTTAAAGACTCTGTCTGTCTGTACTCCGTTCCTCCTACCTAGTACCTACCTACTACCAAGGTTTCCCAGAAATATGACCTTGCTTCCTCTTTCTCATTAATCACCATCTCAACCCACCGACACCAACATCTCATCCAACAATCACCTTCCAATCCAACCGGGAATTGGCTCTCGATAATTTTCTCTAAATACATCAAAGTCAAAAAATGATTACTCGGAGTAATTAGAACATTCCCCTTTTTTTCAATACTTCATCTTATTCCCATCCTCCAATTACCCAGAAACCACGATGAACAGCTCATCGCCCCTCTCTTCGCCCCTCTCCAGCATAGGCACCATATCAGAACCATCATCGCCTTCACCAGCCGTCGATTACCCTTCTCCACCATGTAGTAGTGTACCAGATACGAGAGTCCCATCCGAGGCAGGTGATGCTCCGGATTGCGATGGTCCTCCCCCGGCCAAACGTCGTAAGATGACGCAGCCAAAATCGACAGAACCAAAACCCAGAACAACCGAGTATCTCGACTTGCGCAACTTTGGGGAAGGGTCGCCAGAGCAAATTGCACAACAAGATGCGCAAATGAAGCGTTTGGTAAGGGTTTTGCGAGGCAAGCGGAAGATTGTGGTCGTGGCCGGTGCTGGTATTTCGGTCTCCGCTGGAAGTATGTTCGATTGATTCCAACAACTCCAATCCTTGCTAACAATATCATAGTACCCGATTTTCGATCCTCCACTGGCTTGTTCTCAAGCCTTCGAAGTCAACATAAATTGAAATCGTCTGGAAAGGAACTATTCGACGCGTCGGTATACAAAGATGATTCTTCGACAACCTCGTTTCATTCTATGGTTCGCGAACTATCCCATTTAACGAAAAATGCCAAACCTACCCCCTTTCACCATATGTTGGCAACGCTTGCAGAAGAAGGCAGATTATTGCGACTTTACAGTCAGAATGTGGATGGGATTGATACCTCATTGGAGCCCCTTGCCACAACGGTTCCATTGAATAGTAAGGGACCCTGGCCCAAGACGATCCAACTTCACGGCGGTTTGGCCAAGATGGTTTGCTCAAAATGTGGTCACTTGGAAGATTTTGATGGGGCCCAATTTGAAGGTCCAGAAGCGCCGGATTGCGGTAATTGTGTTGAAATCGACTCGGTCAGAATTGCAGCAGGTTCGAGAAGGCACGGAATTGGCCGGATGCGACCTAGGATGGTTCTATATAACGAATATAATCCAGACGAAGAGGCGATTGGTGCAGTCAGCGCAGCGGATTTGAAGAAAGTGGCCGATGCAGTCATTGTTGTCGGTACGAGTCTGAAGATACCTGGAATTCGGCGCCTTGTCAAGGAAATGTGTAGTACAACTCGGGATCGCAAAAATGGATTTACTGCCTGGATAAACCTCGATGGTGAGCCTGGTGGTCCCGAATTCAAGGATTGTTGGGATATGATTGTGCGGGGCGAGTGCGATGAGGTTGCTCGCCATGCAGGCTTGCCAAAATGGGACGACAAAGACCTCGGGCAATATCCTTTGATTCTCAACGAGGTTGCATGTGCAAAGAAACGTGGAATTGACAAGGTTCTGGTTACACCTGCCCGCAGTACCGCAGCCGTGGATGCATTCCCAACACCGGGAGCCAGTCCAAGGGTGCAATCGCCGACGCCCACAAACGCTTTCTCGAAGTTGAAGGCAATCAAAAAACCAACGAGACCATCAGAAAAGGCAGCTGCAACAAATTCAACAAAGAGGAAGGCGCCGGCCGATGCGAAGGTCAAGAAACCAAGGGCACCACCAAAGCCCAAGACGAATACAAAATCGAAGAAGCAAATTCTACCTGGAGAAACCCTGAAGCTCTCCATGGCTACTACCAAATCATCGGGTAATGGAGAAGCCAAGAATGTGAAGGGCAATCCCAGGAAGAAATTGCCCTCGAAACCGGAAAAATTGGAACCAGTAAAACTGGAGAATCCAATCTCAGTTACTCCTACCTCCGTATTATTTCCAAATCTAAAGTCCACGGTGCCCGTTGTAGCAATACCTTTACCTACTCGTTCAGGAACTACTTCCCCTAGAAAGGTCGCACCGCTATCTACTCGTCGTCAAGATACTACTCCTTCCAAGCAAGTTACATCCTCAGCTCTATCTGACACACGCACTATTCCTGAGACTCCGAGTCCTCCTGGGAGTCCTCCTTTTGATCGCAACGAAACGATCACCCCTCCTTCTAAACCTAACAAAATGGAGCACCTCATTGATTAAAATAATCTTGAGGTCGATTCAGCACCTTTTTGTTTCCTTGTTTGTACATAAGACCATTTTTTGTTACATTATTCAACCGCTACAGAACATTCATGTTTTATGTTAGGCGGCTTGGTATCTTCCTGTCATAAACCCACAGGGTTTGGAGTCTCTGGCGTTCTTCCATTCATGATCATACGAATTCTTATGACATGATATGGTTCCAAATCACATTACAGGCGGCGTATTGGGTTTCATTATCACACATATGGATTCACGGATGGTTCTTATGTATCGGCTTAGCATTTCACATGCAACCATGATACAAATAATATTGTAACCTTAGATTTTTTCTTTTTTTGGAAGTCCATTTGTTCATGTTATCGAATAAATGGCAGGCGTTTTGGTCCTTTTTCTGTTGATCCCTAGTCGGATCGATACAGGAAAGAAATATTGGGTTGGTTTTTTGCATTGCTGGGGAGTAGAGAGGCTTGATATGGGCTTTCATGGATGTGCTGGGAGGTTTCACTTTAAGGAATCGGTAACGAAAAGACGCAAAGAAAGTGAAAGTTGCCAGGATGCAGATTGTGGAGGTAGATGAACACAAATGCGAATGAGAAGAAGAAGAAGAAGAAGAAAGGAGAATGTGGAGAGAAAACCAGAGCATGTTATATTCTTAAAGTACATACACAATACAAGGTCCCGAGATACCTTTCTGTACATAGATAAATGTGGTACTTTGGGAACAAGCGTGGGGGAATGTGTAATGATAGAATGCTTTGTGTGTTGCATGCAGCCCTCGAAAATTGAATGTCTTGAGATTTGAATGTGTATGAATGTGAATGGTTTGATTGATTGGTTGGCTCGTTTTCTAAGGAGGGGAGGTGGGTGGATCATTGGAGTATTGGAGTATTGGGTGAGGATTTGAAGATTTTGGAGTGGGAGTGGGAGTGGGAGGGGGAGGGGGAGGGGTTGTTGTTGTAATTAATGGTGATGGTTGATATCTTGAAGATTTGTCGTTGTGATTTACATATATATATATACATACATACATACATACATGGGATGAGATAATTTTTGTTGTCGTTGAGATGAGATGAGATGTATGTATGGTTGTTGGAAGGGATGTCTATATATGTGTATTGGATTCGGGAGATGATGGGATGGGATGGGATGGGATGAGATGAGATGAGATGAGAGATTGATTGGTTGGTTGATTGGAGGGTTGGGTTTTAATGTTTCTTTGCGTGGTTTAAATGGATTGATGGATGGAGTGATGTGATGGTGGAATAAGATGTGAAAGAAGATCTGTTGAGATGGGATGGGATGGGATGGGACAGGATAGAACAGAATCCTAAATATCTGTTGTAGCTTCTCCACTTACAGCACACTCGAGAGAAGAGCATTTCAGGATATTGACGGACAGGGAATTATATATTCTTCTCTTTGTTTTTCTGGCTGGATTTCTGATAGTGAATACCAAGTCCGAATGTGGAAACGAGAACGTCCTCTTGTTTCGGCAGGTATACACTAGACTAGCATTCCTGCTCACCTTGTCATGGCGACCATATATCTCTGCTGTAAAGTGTCGGTAGAAGATTTATGTGGAATGGGTATAAATATCTATGTCTTCTCTCCTCTGGAGTTGATCTGTATGCGATTAGTAAAGATTACAATGAATCCATATCAAGGTTGATGCATACTAGGTAGTTCTTCTTCTGTTGTTCTTGCTTTTGCTATAGCTCGAGAGAAGATTTCGCGAACGTCTTGGATTTGGGGCTCGTGTGGAGAGGGTTCAGGAAATGGGGATATGTGTTTTGATTTGCGATGGTTGGAGAGAGTGATAGATGGGGATTTTCGACAGCGGTAGGGGGGTTGATGTTATGGGTGAGACTTTGCCGGTATGATGACTACGATCACTTTATTATTATCAATCACATATCCATACTTTTACTACACTCTCTATTTTCTCTTCAGATGTATTCCTCATCTCTTTCTTTCGCTCACCGGCTAGTGCTTATATAATAAGAGATGGGATAGTGGAGGATTATATTGATGAGATTCATAGTGCAGGGAGTCGAACTACAGTTCCCTCAATTCTTCATCTCTTATCTTACTCCTGGATCATTTGTTGGTTCAAGGTTTTGGGAGGTGGTTTTATAGTGATTCGTTGAGGTTCTAAGTTTGGATGGGGAGTGTGGTGAATTGATATGGAGAGGTCTCTTGATATGATTACCGTGGTGAATCAGGTATTGCGCAAATCCTCTATATAGGATCGTGTACGTTGTTCACATAATATCGATGTCTAGCCCTGTTTCCTGATGACTAGAGAAGGTTTCGAAACCATGATATCGCGTATTCGTGGAGTTTGAAATGGGAAGTATAAATTCGAAGGAAACCATCGTATACTGAGAAATGCATGCAAGATAAACCCATGATTGTACATGGACTTTGAGGATCATGTTCTGTGGCTTTCCTGGTGGAGGAATGAAGATCTACTTTTGAGATGTAAAGTTAGGAGGTTCGTGTGTTTGAGTTTGTTGAAGAGAATCAAGATGAATTCTATGGAGTTAGATTTGAAATGTTGAGAAGGCGATGATGATATCGCGATGGTGATGATTTTTGACGGTAAGAGATAGTATGTAATTATCAGAGTTAACAACAATTCATATCTCCTACCCTACTTAATGCCCACTCAAACTTTCAACCTAACGACCACTGCGTTCCAACAGATATAAAGATTTCCAGATATTGGCTGCAAGACCGTCCTAATTCGAGCTCCTGAGTAAGCGACTTCGGTGCACACTCCCATAACTGTACTTACCTCCAATTCCGACGTTCAGGTTTAAAATAGCGTCGAGTTCTTATATCATGGACATCATTTGAGTGAATATATTTGACATCTAGTTTTCCAGTATTGCCAGGGTTCATTGAATAGGAGGTGTGTCTGACCAAATGAATTCACCACTGCTAAAGCATTGCTCTTTCCCTGTCGAGTGATCCCCCAGTTTGCTAGGCCAAGATGTGTAATACTCCCTCAAATTAAGCATTTCTGTAGGTACTAGGTATTTATACACCTTTACCTTTAATCTTGAATAGGATAAGCAAAATAAGACATGTAGCTTCAGCATGTCTAGGTTGGGGAGGAGGTCGAAGGACACTTTGTACTATTGAACTCTTTTCTTGAGAAGGCCATCTAGGATATGATGGGATAGTATCTTTAGTAGATGGGAGAAGTGAGAAATTCTTCTGTCATCAAAATTGGTTGTTGTCGTTGATCTATGTTTTCGGCTACATTCGTCAGCGTCGTCAGCGTCGTTATTATCATCAGCGTTTACAACCGTTCAAAAACATACGATCTTCCCAGTCCTCAACTCACCTATTCTACTCGTCTTATCCTCCATAATTTAGTCCCCACAACTACCATGATTTATTTCCTACTTTCATCTCTTTGATCGACAAAACTCCCTCGCAAGCGATCTTTTCGGCTTACAGAGTTCATCTACTTTGAAGTACGATCTACTTGGAGGCTTATATAAACTTCCTCAAGTTGGGTTAAGATATCCAATGAGTCTAGTTTGCGGGGAAGACAAATACCCTGTTCTGATACTTGTTTCTCTCTAAAATTGTGTAGGAAACAAGGGGAGCGGCTTGCATGTATCTACATATGTTCTGTCCAGATAGTTATCAAGTGGGATGCCTTTTCCCACTTCATCTCTCATGGCTTTTCCGCCAATATAAACATCTTTCCTTGAACTTGAATGTGAGACCAGATTTAACACTGAGAAATTCATATACATTTGGATAAGGAGTCCTGTTTTCTATGTCGAACCTCAGTTGCTTAGGCTCTGGCTCGACGTAGAACAGAACCTCGTTAGTTCGTTCCCCCATCCAAGATAATATAGAGGAGTCTTCTCAAATTCTTGATAACGAGAGTCCAGCTTCACTGTCAATGAAATTTGAATTGTTGAAGATGTGAAAGTGCACGAACCATGGATAACATCCAAAGATTGACAACAATAATAAGATATCTGAAAACCTGCTTGCTATCCCTTTACCACTTTCACATTCTCATCTTCACCCATCATAGCACATGATTCGCTCTATTCGAAATCAGATCTTATTTGAATGTTCTCTAAGTAGTTTTGTTTCCATCTTTTATTTTTACTCTTCCACTCCTTTACAATATTTATATGCCTGCCTAGGTACTGTAACATCATTTCGATTATGCAAGTCGTAGCACACGGAATACTCCTTTTATTACTTTCCAATATTCATCATTTTAGGCTCATAGAAATACACACTATAGCCACTCTCCCATTTCTCCCTCCTTATTTCTTTCCTTATCAGAGAGTACAAATATCCATCTTATACTTGGAATTGTAGGTACAGTATTGAGTTATACCGCGAGAAGATGGATCGTTAAGGAATAACCTAGTGTTGGAAACTCGCGGTTGATATCTATTGCCTTGTATGTAGACTATTTGGTGCTAGAAAGAGACAGATAACAAGGCTTTGATATCGTGATATTAATCCCTTAAGCAAAGATGACGAAACTCGACAGCAATTCCCACGGAATTCAAGGGATATGAACGAAAAGATTTCCATCTTTCATCCACAGCAATGAGAACTTTCCACTCCCGTTGCAAATTTCACTATATATGGGTATATCAATCTTCTCCAGCCTCAAAACACACATCGCAGATTCAATCCATCCGGATCCCCCAAGTGGAATAAATGACTCGAGTTCAGTCCTTGAAAGACGATGAAATAGTCTATTTCTCGCTGCATGATGCTTCGTTCGAAATCTCTGGTTCTCCTATAGGTTGTGACCGAGGAGAAAGTGCAAGATGGGGATGTAGAAAGAAAGTTAAGCGTGAAGGAATTAGAGTGACTTATGTATCTCGAAGATCAAATATGTTCTATCCTCAACTTTGTAGTGAATTTGCTGTGTGGATAATTCCATGATTCTTAACCCCAACGGTCTCATTTCTCCTAAAATGAGACATCTAACGAGTATAAAATCCTTCACAAAGTCATTCTAACCCTGCCAAAACGCTTCGTGCGCTTCAAACAGAGATTGAACGGGTGAAGACTTCTCCTCGAATGGCTCAAAGTAATCAACAGGATGAAGGTTGTAACTGGGTCAGGAGATATCATGTATATGATTTGAGGTATATAATGAGGAATACGAGATGTAATACAGATAGCCATAGTGCAATGAATCAATCAACAACCAATATGAAAACTCCAGCCGACGACACAAATCCAGGAACAAAAAAGATATATATGCGTAACAACGACAACAACCTCCCCTCGTTACTGCCGAAATTCACGAGTATCATATCACTGGTACCTCAAACCCATGGATTTCTTAACAGGATATTGATCCTTATATTCGATGTCATTCCTCTCGAATCTTGTTTACTTCCTTGTGGGATATTCAATAAACATGTTTCATGCAATGTGTTGCTTTTCAGACTCCCTAGGTATGCATTGACTTTTATAAGTCAGGGTGAAGTATAAGCTCCGAAGAGCGGAGCAGAGGATATTATATAAAAGAAGGATCACAATGCTGAAGTTGATATTGAAGGAAATATACACAAACCTCAAGAAAACAAGTTAGAAATTTGAGAATTTACGACATAGTACATTGATACTACCACAAACATATCCACCTACCATCGGAACTATCGTATGTCGATATGAAGAAAGAGGAATTATATGGCACAGCACTAACCAAGCATGAAACTAATTCAACATCAACAGAAATATAATGTAAGAAGCAGAATCATTATTGGGTATAG